GGTCCCTTCCAACCCAAACCATTCTATGATTCTATATCCAGAAACCAAAATCCTAAGCTGTATTGAAGTCTTATACAGATGGCGTGTTTAAATGAGTTGCACCACATCTCATAGTGTCCAGCACATGTTTAAAAAAGATGCTCAGGTATGAGGAATGTCTTGTTTTAAAGTGTAAATATTTTTCACATGGAAGGGATATAATGTTTCCCAACTAACAAACACAACATCAACTGATACACACTTGTCTCCTACTGAGTATCATTCTCCATGCAATTTTTACATGGTGTCAGGAACTATACAGTAATGAATGATTATGAAATGAGAATGCCTTAGCATTGCTGAGGTAATAATTCAGTACACAGAAAGATCTGCAATGTAATACAGTCTAGTGCTTCTTGTTTTGGTTTGTGGTTCAGGGGCTTCATGCTACAATGTTTTAAATTTGAAATTTGATTCCTGAAAATAGGAGTTGTTAGTCATACTTTTTTTTTTTTAACGTGTGTTTTACAAATGTTACGTGAATGTATTTTAGATAATCCCTTCGGATTTAAATTATGAGGAAGAAGCAAGTCACATAAATATTAAGATAAGATGGATCTAAAAAGTTAATTTGGCAAAGCTTTATAAGCACTTAATGCATTACTTTGGCCAGAAGTGTCAGGAAATATTATTAATGGAATGCCAGTCTTTCCTGTAACGGACTTTCTCCTTTACTAACCAAATGGAAGCAACCCTCTTTGTTTTGTAAGTGGTTTTTTTAAGCATGAAGAGAATTTTAAAATAATTTTCGAAGGAGGTGATTTTAGGACTGTATGATACCAAAAAACCCTTAGTACACCCCTAAGGTTTTTTCCTTTCTCTAAAGCAGCACCTTGCCATCCCTCATGTCAGAGATCCATCACTGTTGACTATAACACTCTGCATTGACGATTACTGTCATGACCCATATTTTTCATCTGAGGATGATGATGATGATGAAAATGTAACCATTCAGATAGAAGTAGCAAGAATGCTTGTACTAAAACAGTTGCATTAACACACTAAAACAGTTTGTTCAGTCTTGCAGACAAAACAAGTGAGGCCTTTTGAAATGGTGACCCTGCTGTAGAAGCCAGAATTTCCTTTTGTTGATTATTCCGAGGAGTTTTTGTGCTTTTAAATTTTCCACATCATATGCGCCGTCTCCAAGTACCTACATATGCGTTTCTGAAATTCCTGCACGTGTTCATGTGAACTCTAAGAGAAGAAATTCTGTCCTGTTGAACATCTAAACATCTCTTCTTTTTTTTTTTTTTTCCCCCCAGGAGTTTATTTTTGGTGGCTGCAACACTGTGGCTTTATTTTGATTTTTCTAGAGGTTAATGAGCACATATGTTGGGTAGTACATGTGGTTACTGTTGATCAGCAATGGGAATTCATCTGTTCAGGAGATTCTTCGGTTTGTCTTCTGCCAGGTCCCTTCTGTGTGTCAGAATCGTTATTTCCAAGCTTCCTAAAAAGTTCCTACAGCACCATCTGGTGGAGAACTTTCCAGTGTCGTTTATATGCTTAGGAAATTCTGTTAAAAGTAACTCCTGAAGTGTTAACTTCAGTCTTATACATGTGTCTAATAACTGAAAAGCATTTTTAGTGTTCCCAGTGGCTGTTAAGTTAGAAATAAATTTGTATGTAACCGGAATATTTTTTTATGCATGTGTTACGTGTAACAGCTAAATGCACATATTTATATAATTTTTCTATTCTTCCAGGATGAAAATATGATCAACTTTATCAAAGGTGGCCTCAAGATTAGGACAAGTTACCAAATATATAAGTAAGCCATTAGAAAATATTTATATTCAATGTTGGTGTAAGCAGTTGCAGTTGCATTAATGCTTCCAAAATAAAAAAAAAATAATTTTTATAACTATCATAATGTTGATACTTCATATAATTTCTAAGTCGTGTTTTCCCTTCCCTATTTTTTTTTCCCCCTGCATCAAAAGAGAATGCCATCAGGTGCTACAGATGACTCAGGGGAACAAAAGCAAAAATGAAACTTACTGCCAGTTTGAAGGAGGAGTAAAACTTGGGATTGGAGCATTCAACTTGGTATGAATTTTTCAGACTACAGAAAGACCATTTGGGTATTTCTGTAGGATTCTTTCTTCGCCGATACAGTACTGTAATCCTGATTTTTCAAATCACACGTTTGTGAAATGGAGATACAAGCTTTGAAGGTTTTATGCAATATGAAAACAGCAGTGGCTTGTTGCATGCATGCCTTCTAGAATCTTTCTACTAATTTATTCTGAATTGTGCTTAATTGAACTAATTTATGTATGTGTTTCGTAAGGGGGAAAAGCAGTTATGTGTACCTGTGTGTAACAGGAATTTTTACGGTGCTTATACTCCTGGTTACAGGACACCTGGCGAGACTCCTGTTATTCCAACACCTCCATGTAAAATATTAATTTGCTTCAGTGGTATTCTCTATATTGGTGTAGATAATTACAAATTCAGAAGAAAAAGCGGTAGTTTTTTTGTGCAAAAGTAAAAAGGGTAAATGCTCTAGTTTTTTTCTTTATAATTTACTACAGTGGCCTCTTCCCTCCTGTCGTGGCAACGGTGAGAGTTGATTTCTGCTGGTATGTTAATTTCTGTGTCATTCCAGACTGGAGCTGGCCAGTACTTAGTATGATCAGAAGAACTCAGGTCTATCTGCACCTGTCAGCCTTCAAAACCCAAGCAACTGGTAGATGTCTGTGTTCATAAGTGCTCTGACCTTTCCTATTCTTCATGAAGTCTGCTCAGTGGGAAGCTTAACAGAAAGTCTCTTCTGGGCAGTACTAGGGTGAATGGACCTTTCAAACACTGACCTTCAAAAAGACCTTCTTGTAATGCTCATTGAAAAGGTGGCCATGATCTTTATCAGTTTTCTGTTGTGTAGGATGTGGAGAATGCAGTTACAAAAAGTGCAGGGAACAAAAAGTGTGTGTAACAGAAGGCTAAAAGATGATAATAATAGCTGGTATTTCTAAAGCAAATATGTGCTTGCTGGCCTGCTAATTCACTGCTCCCACAGTAGGAACAAGCAGAACTTTCATGATACCATTGTGTCATTTGATTGGGAGTGAAGAAAGCTGACAATTGTAGATTGTTAAGTACCACCAAAATAGATAATACTTTCCTTCCAAATGCCCCACAATTTTCAAACAATTCTGATCAGTTGAAGACAGAAAAATCTGTTGTTAACCAAAGAAGCGCAGCTGGACTCTCTCTTGCTGTTTCCATGCTGGATGATCATCAAAAGTCCAAGTTTCCCTGAAGCTGCAGACTGATTGTATATTGTTGATCATGCATGTCTATTTTTTAGTTCTTTTGTACTTCAATTTTTCACTAATGTGTAATGGCGTTTAACATAGTGGTTTTTTTTTTTTAATTTTTTTATTGTATTTAAGTATTTATCTTTCTTTTGTTTTAAATGTATTTCAGATGCTGTCACTTTTACCAGGAAGGATCCTCCGACTTTTAGAGTTTATTGGATTTTCTGGCAATAGGGTACTGGTCTGATACTTGTTTTTTAAAATCAGTCTTTTCTCAGGTGAAGACTGGGTGGAATTTACATCATATATTTCACACTGAAAGTGTAATGATCTATATTGTTTATCAGTACTTTAGTGGTGTTAAAAAGGTGAGAAGTGGGCTAGATGCCTCAGGCATAAAAGCATGTATGGTGATACCCTGATCTTGAAAAACCATGGGAGTTGACCACTCTGCTTCTGAGGGAGTGTTCAAATTGCAATTTCCTTTCCTTTTGCTGATCCTTAAGAAGAGGATATCAACTGTCTTTTGTAGCCTATACAGTCAGAAATTAACATTCCTCATACCTTTAACTCAGGAGAGAGTAAAAATTCTACATTTTTAACCCCATAATCCCAGCCCATTTCTTTGGGAAAAAGAATTTCTGAATATCATGTGTCACTGGAATATCAGTACATCTTTTTCTCATGGATGAAGAAAGTATTTGTAATCACAGCCTGGTTTTTGTAAACCTAGCCTTTCTTCCTAAGTATCTTTCAGTCCTTTAAAGCTGTTTTTGCCACCCTTAAGAAATTAAAACAAAGCAAACCTCAAACAAACAACAACCACCAAAACAAACCAAGCAACTCACAGAATTATACATAACCACACTTCAAGTTATTAATGAGACAGAGTCAGCATGTGGTCTTACTGCTGTTAGTTTGTCCACAAATATGGTTCGGCTTATGTGAAATTAGGCTTCAGTAGAGACTGGTTCATTCTTTCTTCCTGTGAAAGACCTGGTTCATGCTGAAGCTCTTCCATAATAGACATTTTTTCCCTGACTGAAAAGGCAATAAAAGTGAAAAGAAAAAGAAAAATTGCTTTTGGAATATCACCAGAATTTTTTTTTATGGTGCTTGAAGTCATTTATAACTCATCAAGTTGCTATGCAATAAAGCTCCTATTACCTAGCAGTTTTGCCTCAAAACAAATGTTAAAATCTGATATGTTTCTGAAGAGCCACTGCTCTTGAGCAGAGAAGCTCTGAGCTTGTCTCAACAATCCCCCAAGCACTCAAGCAGTCATCTGATGGACATCAACTGGAAAGGATGGGAAAAAATTCCATGTGCTAAGAGCTGAATAAGTGTCTCTGAATCTGTATTCCTTTTCTCAGTGCACACAAATTCCATTGTAGCTTCTGGAAATGGCATCTAGAAGTTGGAATGTCAGCAGAGATAGTATTTTGATCAGAACCTCAAAATAGCATCTGACTTGATGGAAGAGAATTGAGGCAAACCAGGGTTTTCTGTGAAGGAAGAGCCTTGCTGACAAGGAGCACTGGAACAATTGGGAAAGATTCTCACTGAACATAAAGACTTGATTATGAAAGGCTCTTAGCCAGAAAATAGTGGGGAAGGGATGCAGACCTGTGTGTCCGCATTGTCTGTGTGGTGGTCCCGTTTCACCAGAGCACTGACATGCATGGGTAATTTTATTCAGTGTTATCTTAATCTTCTCCCTGATGAGTGCTATCGGCTGTGGCAGAACTGTTTTGGTCAAAGGTGGTGTTGGATCTGAGATGATAGAGTGCTGAATTATGAAATACTTACATCTGAAAGGAAAACTGGATTTGGGGGAGCCAGAACTATTAATAGTAACTCTGTGTACTGATAGTTAATTCTGCATGTGTTTGTGATGTTTCTTAGGAGTTGGGCCTCTGTCAACTACGGGAAGGCGCATCTGGCAGCAGTTTGAGGGCCATTCTGTGTACTTTCACCCTGTTGGTTTATCATACTTACGTCTCCTTAATCCTTGGTGAGACCCACTGTGTAGCTGTTCAGTCATGCTACACATTATGATAGATACTGTGATTTTTCAACTGAATTTTGAAACTGTGGGCAATTAGCTTTGTAACAGGAGATTGCTGCATATTTAATGATGATCTGGAACTAGTGTCTCTTGACCGGCAAAGCTGTGTCTGCAGAAACATTGAGAGTAGATACCATTATACCAACATCTTGTTCCATTTGCAGGGCTGTCTCAATGTGCAACAGCAAAATATCATAAAACACTGAAGTTCAGACAAGTCCTTATCCATAAATTGTCAGATGTTGAGAAAACGTTCTCCAGAAAGAACTCTGTATTCCCAAACAATTTACATGGAATTTTGAACATGTAGAGAACTAATTGCTTTTGCCACATGGGGCTAAAAGTCACCATTAATTTTGTATGCATCTTTGACATACATCTTCATGTTCTTCAGTTTGGAAGTATTTTAGTCCTTGTCCCTCAGGCTCATCAGGAAATTAAGGAGAACTTCATTTCTTCAGTATCACCTGCACTTCATTACTGAGCTCAAAATTAGGAAAGGAGACAGCTGAGGAATGCTTTCCTAACTAGCTAAAGCAATTAAAGGGATTTAAAATTATAACTGGGATCTATAATGGAACAGTTTAAAGAACATTCATATATTCTATTCTGTTTCTGCTTACAGACAGGACCTATCTTACAAGCACTTAGTACCTTCAGGACAAGAATTCATTTTTATATAAACACAATATGATGAAACAATTCTGCTTTTGCATAAGAGCAGTTATCCATTAATCTATTCAAGCCATAATATGATTTGGAAACCAAAGTCTTAATCTATGAAACTCATTTTTATAAGTAGATTGAGGTTGGTTTATTATATTTTCTAGGTACAGGGGAAGCCAACCTTCGGGAAGCAGAGAGTCTCCTCAAACCCTACCTCCAGAAATTTCCAAATGTGTGTATTTCGATAAATTTTATAACAGCAATGTACTTCCATTAGCTTAAAATAGTAACTGGTTATTTTTCTCATCTCCCTTCAAGGGTTCAATTATTCTGTTTTATGCTGCCAGAATAGATATACTGAAAGGAAATTTTGAAAAGGTAAATCCTTTTTTCTTTTTAAGGTTTTTATATGTTCAGTGTTCAACTGGGGGAACAGTGTTTAATTCATCTAGGTAACTTATTTTGGTTGGGCTGATAATTATGCTTTTACCCCTGTTCATGTTCAGTGCCAATGCAGATTCCATCTCCTCCTCTGTGAGACAGAAAGGAAAGTTTATCTCATTTTACTAGTCAGGTGTTCTCCACTTGGGTGGTAGGAAAGAATTTGCTCTGTAGTTAGACGTGGCTCTCATGTAGAGTTGTAATTGAGCCAATTTTCACCGTTTTTACTTAACTACATTGTAGGCACAGTTGAGGTTCCAAGAGTGCATAGCAGCCCAACAAGAGTGGAAACAGATTCATCATCTCTGTTACTGGGAACTGATGTGGTGCTACACCTTCCAGCAGAACTGGCTTCAAGCATATCGGTATGCAGACCTGCTCAGCAAAGAGAGCAGGTGGTCTAAGGTAAATGGGCAGGTGGATGTTGTTACGGTGTACCAGTAGCCTCACATTTGCATTTCAATTCACACAACAGGTGTAATTTTTGCTTTCTTCTGCAACATGTAAGCAAAGGCACAATGACACCAAAACTGTTAGTTTAACTGTGTGGGTTTAGTAGGAATTTTTGTTCTACATTCTGCAGCACCAGAGCCATAACTGACAGTGATTCAGCCCCTCAAAAAACAGAGGTGCTTAGCAGAGTTGTGCAAAAGAAGAGGAAGAGGAAAACTCGTAACTTTCATCTCAGTCAAGTTCTAATGCCAAATATTAAAACTTGGCTGAAGAAACTGTGTGTGAGTTAATTATAAACAGACAAGGGCAGGCCTACTCGGCAGATGCTTCGTGACGTGAAATGAGAAGGCTGCTGGAGGTGGGGGTCTCATGAGAAAAGCTGGAGTACTACCTTTTCCTTGAAAGAATGTTTCTCCAAGTATGAGCCAAGCACAACATGCAAATAATTTGATAGATCAGATTTTTGTCTGTACCTTTCTAGATTACGGTTTTATTACGCCTAGTGGAAAAGGAGTTACGTCCGATTCTTGAGAAAAAAGGAAGAGAGTAGTATATTCAATGTGAAGTGCAAATGTCTTGAATAGAATTATGGATGTTTCTTTTCCTCTCTGCAAAGGCCAGTTACTGAACTTTCCTTGAATCGGTGCTCAGATATTTCCTTCAGGTTTTTGATTTTTTTTTTCCCAGACATGCTTCTACATGTAACAGTTCAAAAAATAACATTAGTGTACTTTAAAACAGTCATGTCATTTAACCGCATCTCTTTGTCAGTAATTTGCATAGTAAATTGTGCTGTTCTTTGTGGGAGACATCTTTAGTACTCTGATTAACTTACTTAGAATATTAATAAATATGTTGAAAATAAAATTATAGAATAATTTATGTGACAAAGGAAATGCTGAACTTCTATCGTTCCACCTGCTTGAGAATTACTGGAAACACTCACTGCAACAGGTGGGGTGAGAGATTAGAGTCCTTAGTGTATTGACTGAACACTGCAAACTAGTTGTGGTTAATATGTTGCTGTTTCTTTTTGAAATAGGCAATATATGTATTCCAGAAGGCAGCAATTCTATGTATGCTTCCAGAGGATGATTTGAAAAGGACTGGTGAGGACATTGTATCTTTATTCAGGTAAACATTTATAGAACAACTAGGTGTACAGTCTTTTCCCACACAGAAAAAGGTTTTAGGCTTGAGTGTCTTTGTCTTGTGACTTACTTCCTACTTACAACCATCAACTTTTTAGGTTTTCTCTTTCCTTTTAGTGTCAGAATATTTAAAATGTTGTTTTTATCAGCGAATGTATGTCCTGCAACTGTGGTCTAAATGGTGTGAAACAATTTAAGACGTTGTACTTCAGAGGAGAACAGCAAAACTTACAACATAAAATAAGATGAAATAGAAATTACGTAAAGCAACTTCTGTTTTCCATTTTCCTTGTAGACAAGTGGATGGTCTAAAACAGAGAATTGCAGGAAAATCTATCCCAACTGAGAAGTTTGCAGTAAGGAAGGCTCGACGCTATGCAAGTTCTCAACCAGTGAAGCTGATAGTACCCGCCTTGGTATTTATGCTCGTTTTCTCTTGTTCTCTTGGAAAGAGAAGAGTAATAAGTATGACTCATTATACAGGGAAAAAATTACATTATCGGGTAGTATGGGTCTGCATTTTTTAAATAGCTTTTTTAAGAATTACTGCATTCATGCAGTGGGATTTTTGTGAAATGTTCCAGAGGATGGATCATGCTGCCAACTACTAGCAGTCCAAAACCAGAACCAGATTTTTCACGTGAAAGTTTAAACGTACAGAGAATGATTGCTGTTGCCACATGAGGCTGAAAGTCAACTTTCAGCAAGAAATCTGCATGGATTTCTAGAACGTGTGTTCATGATCTTTAGTTTGGCAGGATTTCAGTCCTTGTCCTCCAGACTCATTAGGAAGTTAAGCAGTACTTAACTTTGTGCTTTTCTGGTGAAAATGAAGAGTGGTGTGAGTTTGGGGTTTTTTTCCCTTATATTAAGTCTGAATAAGATGTGCAGAATCTAATTATACTTTTAATAATGCTATTCTAATTTCCCATGCTTTTAACTTCAGAGGCATTTGTAGTGTACAGTCTGATTATGTGCATGCAGCAGTCGTACTTAGCATTTGTGTATGCTAAAATTTTTGTACGTGGATAATTTGGCAGCAGCCAAAGTTGAAAACTATAATTTGAGAAGGAATGTCTTACGTTACAGCTCATTGATACAGAAAGAGGTTCACAAAGAAAATTAATCTGTCATTTTAAAAATTATTTATATACTCAATTATGTATAAAGACCTAAGTAATAAAGTTATCCTGGGCTTGTGAAGCGCAGTGCTGTTCAGTTGTGAGTATGTATCTTTGGTTTTGCTGTCAAATCCACTATCTTAATTTAAGAATTTTTTCCATCATGGGTTAAGCAAAAGTAGTGTATGGTGTTATTGTAGTAAGCATAAATTAGACAGGACTACAGAATTTAAAAGAATCTCTAGCATAACGTAGTTGATAGTGTCAGTAACACTATTTCAAGCTTTAACAGAGGCAGGGTTTTTCCTCCCTCTGAAAACCTACATCATTCTAGCACAAATATAATGGAAACATTTCAACAGTGTCTTGTATCAACCTCGGAATGACATCAGGCTTCATACTTCGAAAGTGTAATTACAGTTCAAGTGTTGTAGAACAATTGATGGCCTTGTGTTTGTGATGGCCAAGTAAAGATCTCGTCGAAGTTCCGTATTGGTTAGCCTCTGTGCATCTATTCTCTCATTCTCTGTACGTGCTACGGTGTGATAATACGTAATGCATAGAAACAAGCCTACTGCTTTCGATTGTACTGAAGCATCTGGGAAGCGTTGTGCAGGGTTTGCCTTGATTTATTTTTTAATAAGATTTTGTAGGAATTGCATTGGAAGCATGTGTTGGATGTTTGTACTGGAACCACGTTGTTATCCAGAAAGTTTTACCTCCTTCCAGTGTTGCTCCACATGGAAGGCAATAATCCTATAGATATTAGCATCTGCATGTAAATGCATGAGTGTGTGTTTGGGTGTGTGTATATATATGCGTGTGTTTGGGTGCTCGCATATATATGTACACACATATATACCGTATATGCACACACACAACTGCTGCTTTAGGCAAAGGGCACAAGATGAACCTAAAATACCTGTTCTGATGATGTTTGTTATGTAGTAAACCACCACGTGATGAAATCTGTTCAGTTCTGTCATTAAAGATCTGTGAAAATACAAGATAGAATCCATTGAAAAGGTGTCAAAACATTCAAATCTTAGAAACCCAGGTGAACTTTGCCCACATACATTCAATGTCATTTTGTCTCCCCTAATGCAACTTCAATTAAATGATTGTCTATGTAAACATGCGTGTAACTGACAGAATGTTGTTGTGGGGGGTTGTTTGAAGTCATGCAGATACTTCTACTCAACAGGGAGTGTTTGGCTTTGAAACCTTTCATATTGTTTAAAACAAGCTTTTGTAGTCAGTGTTTTTATGTACTCAAAATGTTCCGTAACAGCCTTCCAAGGGGTACTCTTTAGTTAAATATTTATGCAACTCCATGAACTTGTGTCATGTGGGTTTTTCTTTCTTTTCTTTTGTCAGGAAATGATGTATGTTTGGAATGGCTTTGCGATTGTGGGAAAAAGAGCAGACCTCACTGAAAACTTACTGGTAACCATTGAAAAGGAAGAAACTGCTCTACAAAATGAAACTAGTAAGTGATCAGTTAAGACAGATTTAATAAGCTGGTAAGAAATGCTGACATTTTTCTTTGCTTCTGTTTATTATGATCTGTGTGGTATTAACTCGGGCAAAGCGCTATTAAAAGTCAGTATGGAAACTTCAGAGCTGCATGAAAGTTGCTTGTGGTTCTTCAGTATGTTCTTTATCCAGCTTGATTCATGCTGCAGAAGAACACAGAAAACTCACGGATATGAGGTTATTAGTTACAGAACTTAACTGAATCTTACTAAGACATCCCTGTCTCTGAGAGCATTCTTGGAGTGTAACTCGCTAATTTCTTAAATGTTAGAAAAATACTTTTTCTAAACCAATTTACACCACACTTTACTACAGAAGACACATACTGAGTAGAATATGACTAAGTATAAAGGAAATAATGAAGTGCTGTGCATGAGTTTGTCTTGTTTCTTACTTTCCGGCAGAATAAGACATGTTTGCTAGGTGAAAAATAAAACATTTTTTTCAAATAAACTTTGACCATGGTTTAAGACATTGATGTATTTGAAGCATAGATGTTTAAGGTAACTGTAAGTCCATAACTTATTCTTAAAAGAAATTGTTTGATTACTGTGACAAGTTTACTGCAGAAGTGCCTGGCTTTATCATGTTTTATTGGGTGGGCTGCTATCATCTATCGTGAACTTCTCAGTCGAATTCTCTTCTGTGTTCTTCTAGAATGACTAAGTGCTACCTCTTTGCAGATGAAACTTTTTTATTGGTAATTCACTAAAAATAATTTCTGTTGAACCCGTATTTTAATCACACCAACAACTTTGTAAAAGTTAGTTTTGCTACATGACTAAAACATTAGATGTACGTTTACCTTTCATAATTAATTATGATGTACATATAAACTGATGATCAGAAGTTACACAAGAACGTACAAGAAATGCATAGTGGTAAAAGCTAGGTGGTGTAATAAGCTAAATGAGAGTAACTTGGAAGGCCAAGACTGAATTGGGTCCCTTAATTTTGTTACTCTCCTCACATTTCTGCAGAATCAGTAGTGTACCTGTTAAATCTTAAGTGTTTTTCTTTTTTTTGTTGTTGTTGTCATGTTAAAATTAAAATGTTGCAATATGCAAGACACATGCAAATACAGTCACATTCCCATGAGTTCTATATGGAGGGTTCTGGCAGAAACTGTTGGGAACCCGGTGCTGTATCCTACAGAGGCTTGTACTACAAGTGCTAACTGGTTGTAACTGTGAAGTAAATTTTCTGTCAAATTCCTAAGCAGGGATGTACGAGGTACCAAAATAAAAGGAACAGGAACAAAACCAGCCTGTTTTTCTTATGAGAGTATGCACTTTGCAAGTAGAATGTAATCTGGAAGCATGTTTGGATTTTATGCTTTCTGTATCTTTTTGTTTTAGTAATAACTGCAGTTAAATGTAGTTTTGTTCTGGACTTGTCGTCTGTGAGCCTGATTTTTTTTGCAGATGTAGACTCAGGCAAGATAAAGACTCTGCCAGGATTGCTGCTGAATTGAGACCCAAAGAAAGTGATTTAATTCTATCAGCAGAATGTGGCAAGGAAACATTATTATTTTAAGAGGTAGCTGTCAGTACTAGATAGCTTTAAAGGACTGCTGAGGTGGTGTAAAAAAGTGTGTTAATTATACACAAAGGTCATTTAGGGATTGAGACCTCTTAGAGAGAGCTCTTGGTATTTCATTTGCTTCAAGTGAACAGGCACAGCAAGGAACCTCTCACGGATTGGAAGTAGTTTTATGAAAACAGAATAACTGAAAATAGAGATGGTAGAAGGAGCAGATGAAAGACATTAGAAACGATTAATTTTTTCTCAGAATTTCTGGAAATCTTATTTTCCCACTGTTTTGTCATCTCCAAGATATAAAAAAAGGAAATTGTAACTTCAAGGAAAAAAAGAAATCATTTCTTGTGCGTTTTATAGTCCTGACAATCGTATTTCCTCAGGTGCAGCGGGCTGCAGGAAGATGGTTGTCCCACATTTGTTGCAAGGGTTGTCTTTTGCACTGGCCTGTGTAGTTACTGTCATTTACTGTCAGTGTTTTGGCATAATAGCTTTGTTCCCCTGTGGGAAATACCCAAGAGACACTAGTTGAGGTTGTTAAAGACTGATAAGCTTTTACTGACAACAGTGCTTGCCCCCTGTAATTTCGAGGAATGAGTCCTTCAGGAGGCAGTCACGTGTATCCAGTACCTCAGCCTAGCAAAACAGGCTGGAGGAAATGTGGAATACTTACCCACTGCGCTTCTACCTGTCGCTAAAAGCGCAGTCTGTCAGTTGTTATCTATCAAGACTTTCTGGGTTTAAACAGACAGAAATCAGCCTGAATGTAGTGGCAAAGCACTTCGCTGAATCCTAAGATGTTTTAGTCTTGCATGTTTCAGAACTGTTTACGTGGGATTTTTTGGCAGGCTATTAAGAAAAAAATTAACGTGACCTTAGAGAGATGGTAATTACTTGTAAACAACATCATCTGAAGGGAGGGTGTTTTGCTTCCCTAGTTGTTAATGTATGTGCCGCCATCTGTCTCTCCATATGTGTTTTCTTTCCTTTCTTTTCCTTTCCTGCACCCAGCAAATGCTATAAACCAAGGCAACAAAAAAGGACCATGCTCGTTAAGGTTATATTTCTGAACTGCTTCACAAATGCTCTTTTATCTCATATTTTTAGGCCATTTTTTGAATTTTCCAATGTTATACACTGCTAGTGAAGCTTCTCAATTGTTAGAGATTATGGGAATACTAATAAGCATGGGTTCTTGAATTTGTACTGCCAAATAATGCTTCCTACAAGTTCAGCGGGACTGAGTCCTAGTGTGTTCTTGTGCTTGCCATGTTACTGGTGCCGCCGGAGGTCTGCCTGTGCTCTGCAGCAGGGGAAGCTATTAAGGAAATATAGTGCAAAGGTGGTTTCAGTCTCTCAGTTCCACATCCTGTTTTACATGTTACAAGTACAGAAATCTTTAACTGATGCCATTTTATGCCTGCTTTGTACTGACTCCCAGATGCAGAAGACTGGGCAATATGTGAATGCTTCAAGTTTTTCTCATTCTTAGCCTGTGTCTTAAAGAGGATGACATAGATGTTATGCATACACCTTCTTTAGTAGATAGTATTTAAAATTGTGCCTGAAGGTCATGTGTGTTCTGAGGTATAAAAATCTGAGAAGCAAGGTCCTGAGTCTGAATGCATATGTTCCCTACTGAAAAATCTAATTTTCCTTTTCATGATGTCTTCAAATTGTTTGATATATCTCACTTTCACATCTAGATCGCAATGAATACTATATGGATGATGTGTGCATGTTGCAGTTACTGAAGGGCCTCTGTCTGAAACACTTGGGAAGACTCATGCAAGCTGAGCTGTGTTTCAGTAAAGTAATTCAAAGGTAAAAATAACATAAATGGACTTTTTACCTTTATGTTTTGTAGCTTTGGGTGACATTTCTGATACTCTGTAGAAGTCTTCATGTTAGAATTTTGAATAATTAAACTTCAACATCCTATTGAGGAGCTGGCACTAAAGTACCTCTGAAAGTAGTTGGAGAAACACAGAACTTTTCTAATATTTTTCTACAGCAATTTAACATGACACAGTTTTATATACCTAGGATGTTTTAGACCCAATAAATCAATCTCATGGGTAATGCCTTTATCTAAATACATTTGGAATTAGTATTTTTGTATTTGCAGAACAATCAATATAAGTAAAGATAATTCCCCTGGATTTCATGTGGGATTTTTTTCAGGCTTTAGTACTTCAGTAGTTAATGCTTCTCTATGTAGATGAGAAGTTGTTGTTACAATTTCAGTTGAAAACTTGAGTTTTCCTGAGTTACAGATTTATCAAATTTTTTAGGTGTCAGATATCTGGTGTAATAACTTTTCTTTATGTAACATTGAGACATGTACTGATTATAGTTGTAAACTTTTTAGAATTTTTGGAGTAATTAGGCTGAAAAAGCAGTTCTTAAACACGCAGTTTTTCTAATGAATAATTATTTGTTATGTATTAGGAAAAAATATTTAGGAGAATTTATTACATATCATTCTGTTGGTTGTTACCATTTCCTTGCCATCTTGCCTTTGCTTGTCATTTTGAAGATCCCAAGTGAGGTTAGTCAAACACGTTGCAAGTTACAGGGCTGTGGGTTTTGACTGGTTACAAGTTAAAGGAATGCTGTTTCTGAAAACCTTGCTCCAAAGGCAGTTGAAAAACTGGAGTCTTTTAGAGCTGGGACATGTCAAATCTTCAGACAACACTTCTTCATAAAGTGGATGTTTTGCATGGGGAGAAGTTTTCTGGTGGATTAAATAACTACGTTCTGCTCAGCTTTATGTTTCTTGGGCTGTGGAGTCTCTGTCTTTGGAGATGTTTAAAACCTAGGTGGACACAGTCCTGGACAGGTTGCTACTGTTGACCTTGCTTTGAGCAGGGGATTGGACTACATGTTCTCCAGAGGTGCCTTCCAACCACAGTGATTCTGAGAATTTCTCTTTGGAGGAAAAGCTGCATTTTCTTATTTCTCTGGGAATTTGTTTAGGCAAGCTAGAGTAAGGAGGTCTCAATTGTGTGTTTGAGAAAGAAATATGTGTATTATATTGCCTAACCTAGTGAACGTTGTTTTTATCTCAAATCAGCTTTTTGGCTAGTTGAATTTTTTTAACTCTCAGACAGTAAGGTACAGTTTTGGAATTAGGAAAGAATAAATTTTTGCTTCTAGAAGGTGACATTGGCAGTATTCTATGTCCGTTCTTTACAGGTGTAATTAGTGTGCACAGAGTTAACTAATAAAAAAGGTTCCAAAGTGTTTTCTCTGGCCCTGTGTTTTTTTTGGCCAGTGATTGCATTTGAACGCTAACTGGTCACTCAAGGGAAGGTTGCAATTAACTGCTTCTATGTTTTTCTGTTTTTCTAGTGAGAAGCAGATAAAATATGATAGCTACTTGGTGCCGTTCACCATGTATGAGATGGGTCTTCTGTACAAACAACAGGATGAGAGAGAAAAAGCAGTAAGATACATAGAGACAGCGAAGTAAGTGGATGGTTTTTTTAATTTTGTATCAGCCTATAGATTAAGAACAACTCAGTAACTTTATCAATGAAGGCATGTGTGTTTCTTCCTGACAGCCCCTTTGAAAAATATAAGTAATTACAATTAACGTTCCTGACTTGGAAAAGTTGTCTGATGCAACTGGATTTTGCAGTGTCATGAAAACTTGAAACTTTGAAGTTCTGAATGTTTCAGTAGTATTGTAAATATGAGTTAGAAACAATTTCCTAAAACCTTTCTTAAAACATAGTAGGTTTTTTGCCTTTTTGTTGTTTTTTTGGATTGCATAATGTGATTTCCCTGCGTTTTATTACCCTGACTGAGTTGTGTTTTGGAGCTGAACATAGGCTTTCAGCTAACAGCCTTTCTTTTCGTTAGTCTTCTAGCTTGTCTTTTCACAGCAGATTTGGGAGGGCTGTTGAAAGGATCAAAATAAGTGAAAGAGGTGCTAAGACATGGATTCAGTTTATATGGACCTTTAATTGTTAGTACTGGTATGAGTCTCTGCTCACTTGGTGAATGTCGCTTTAAATGTCTTGTAACTCACCTGTGTACCAACCCCTGCTTCCCACTGAAGGGACGAAGGCTGATACCTTTGGTACTTCAGTGCAGGTATGAAGTAGAAACAATCCCAGCCAGAAGTGTTTGTCTTAAAAGAACTCTATTGTTTTCAGAAACAACTACAAAGAATACTCCATGGAGTCCCGGTTGCACTTCAGAATTCATGCAGCTCTTGACAGCTTAAAGGTGTCGCCTGCTTCAACACCTTGAATGAGGACGGATGCTTTTGACTCATATGATGCATACAGTAGCCTACACAATCGTTTTGCAATCTTTTTTTAATTACAGGAAAGAAACAACCTAATGATTGTTCTCTGTCATCTCTGATTTGATGTATGTCATTCCTTTAGACTGTTGTTTTTCTGTATAGTGCATATACTGTATCTACTTCATACTTTAAAGAAGACCTTATATTTTGTTTGATAAAAATAATTTAATATTTGACTTGAATGGGGGATATTTTAAAAACAAAAAGCTGATGGTGCAATAAAGTTTAATGCAAACACTTTATTTTTTTATATGAAAACCGATGCTGGTTATGCAGTGGAACTGGTGATAACTTCTGCATTTTTTTGGAAGGTTTGAATTTCTTCAGTACAATTGAGACCTTTTTACTCTGGAACGAAAATGCAATGTCTGCATTACCTTACCCACATTCGGCATACCATGTTTGGAAATTTGTGTTCCAGAGGGAAAAAATCGTCTTTTGACTTAATTTCGTTTTCAGAACAAAATGAACCTGTCTGAAGTGCAATATTTTTACACTGTCAGATAAAGTTAAGCAGGGCTACAGGTATGATGTCTTGGCAGGTCTGCTTCACTCAAAATAATGGCTATGGAGGATATTTTCAGTCATAGAAAAGCAGGACTACTAGAGATTATGTATTCTGTATGCTTGCTCTAAAGCAGAATCAGCAGTCTTAATGTCATTCCTGACAGACTTGTTAAACCTGTCTTTTAAAAAAATCTTGCACTGAGAGGGATTTTGTAATTTACACAGTATGTCTTCCCCAGTGGGGAAAGACTGGGAAGTTTTTACTGGTATCTACCCCAAATAATTCTTGGCACAACTGAAACTGTTTGAAAGCAATCTTCCGTGTCGTGGATCTGGAGAAAGGATTGTTCTTGTTCTTTTTTGAATCAGTCTTCATATTTGAAAACTAGCCTCCTTGTTAGTATGCTCTGTTCTTGGATTCCAACCAATAAACCGTAGAATCATAGAACGGTTTGAGTTGGAATAAAAGTTTGCAGAATGTATTTATCTTCCTAATCATGGAAATTACGTTAATGCAAGCTGATTGTGCATCAATAAGTGAGTCCACTTTTAAACTTAGTTAAGAAAACATGCATATTCTAATCACAACTTTCTACCAAAAATGTGTAATAAGATTGGGATGCATTTGTAATTGCATGTATTTTTATTTACATGTGAGTATGTGAACAGCAGCATCAAATAGAGTTTCCCAATTCACTATATATGCAGATTCTGCTAATTGTCTATTTTTAAGAATATACTTGATTTTTAAGTATGCACCCAGTAACTGTTCTTTCACTAATTATTGCAGAACTTGCCCATTTCTCTATTCTATTAATGACAGTAGATTTTACTTCTGCACAGTAAATTCATGATAAGTATGCTTCTGTATATGATCTTCTGCCCTTAACTCCAACCCAAGAAAAAAACAGAACAAAAGAAATAGGTGAAAAATGTGTCCTCAGTAAATGAGTAACTGCAAGCTTCTAATTAAACATTCAGTATAATGTAAATGCTATAGTTATTCTTCTCACATGACTGAGAGCACAGCTTTCTTCTATGACTATAAAGAATTGAGTCATTTAATTGCATATAAATTTGTAATACAACAGCATACTTATAGGTGAAGTAAGAGTTTAAAAAATATTAGCTAAATAAATGTACTGGATGTTTCAAAGTGGAGACCTGATCCAAAGTCTTGTTGTCTGCACTGGGTTGGATTTGTGCCTATTGCAACTGGGTAACTAAGTTGTGTAGTGCGGGTTTGAAGCTTAGATACCCAAGACACTGAATCGCTGATTAAATGCAGCATCTTTGTTGTAAAATACATGCTATTGACCATACCTAAAGTACAAAAATATATTTGTCTCTTTGTCAAGAGAGATTAATTACCATATGCTACTGGCTGACCTCTCTAACTTTTCATATTCATATCTAAGCTGTAGGCAGCAAAACCAAAATTCTGTGCATTATATTTTCAGACAGTACTTTTAATAGTGCATTGGGTATTTACATGTTCAGTTTAGGATTATTTTGGTTTATCTGATTATTGGATTTGATTATTGTAGCAATCAAATGGGACCACTTCTTTTTCTTGTGAAAGGTGGTGAAAACAATTGCTGACAAAGCTGTTATAATTTGTGTTTCAAATAGTAATTCACCTTACAAAAGAGTTAGAACTGGGACTACAGACTCTCAGGATGGAGCATGAAGTAGTCTCCGGTCTGTTGTTTTGTGGGGAGTGTCTTACAATTAGTATTTTATGGGTGATTTGGGATAGAAATCAAAACTAACAAAAAGTAAGCAATGAGCTTCCATAGAAGCTGTTCAGGTGTTGGTTTTTTTTTTTTTTGGAAGTTCAGTACAAAGTGTCATGTAGCAGGGTGCTTGTTTTTTACACATAAAGAAGCTAATGGCAGAGAGGGTAAAGGAGAACTTGGTTTTCTTCAGTTCAGCCTTCCAATTTTTATGTTAATGCCCTGTGAACATTACACTTTGTCTCTCTGGGGATCAGCCTTCTGGCACTCATGCAGGGAACAGGCATATCGACACAAACATGCAATGCCCTCTCTAGTGCTCTGATGCCCAGAGGTCCCCAGTGTCAGTACTATTTACAGGTTGTCTCTTTTTCGGTGCTGCTGCTCCAAACTCGTCTCTTTAGAAGGCCGGACTGATCAAGAGTCTTAGCTTTACTCTGGAGTTTTTTTTCCAACTTACTGTCGATGGAAATACTAGTGTGTGTGAGAACGAGTTGTAAACATTCACTTAAGGTAGGTCTCAGTAGAGTTGCAGAGACGCTTTGTCTTCCAAACGCTGCAGGAGCAGCGCACGTCTCCCCGACACAATGCGTCATTGATGCAGTATTATTGAGTACATTCTGGCCGAGTTAAGCGATTTGTGGCTGAGAGTTTGGATGAAAAGTTTTTCGGTGTGGGTGTTTTTGGTTTGTTGGTTTTTTTTTTTTTAGCCTGCTGTATGCTGCACTGGGCCTTAAATACAACTTTGAGTCTTGCTGCTCTTCATAGTCTTCACCTCACTTGATCGTGTCCCATGGGAATTTTAAATAATGTGCTGAAACTTTGAAACTGAGCAAAGCTGAGCATTTACCTGATGCTGTAACCTCTGTTGATAATATTAGGCATTATCATACATACAAGAGCAAAGCTAAAGTCCTCAGTTTAAGCAAGCAAAGCTGAGCTTACATAGTTACACTGTGACAAAAGGTCACTCTGATCTTTCTGATAATAGATGTGTATTTTTTTAAGGAAGAGAATAATAAAGTAGCCTGGTTATAAGACGAAACTCCCCTTTGATTAAGAATTGTCTACTTAGAAAACATTACAAAAAACTTACTGTCATGTGTATCATTCGAATGTTTAGTATGTTGGTGAAGAATCATTGTATTATGTTTTTTAAGTCCTAGCTCGCCGCTTTTTAACTGAAATTGAAAGAATATGGAGGTTAAAAGAAAGCCGATAAAGACTGTGTTATATCTGTTCTAATACACATGGATAGCAGCTGTATTTAGCACCTTAGGGCCATAAAAATGTTCAATAATCACATCCTGTTACGTTTCTTAAACACCTTGGCAACTGATGTATAAAAGAAGTAATTTCTTGTAACAAATCCAACTTAAACTTTGCGATTATTTTATTACTAATCTTAATGCTTAAAGTCCTTCTGTTCTGTGTATTCTTATGCTGCATAGTTCAACAAAGAATGTTTATATTTACACTGGTGGTGCGGTTCATTTGCTTCAGATACTTCAAGTATCTGATACTTGAGCAAAACCAAGGTTAGAATAATGGAGAATGAGGGATGATGATGTACGTTCTGGTTTTAAGAGCATGTAGAAATGTTCATTGTGATGCATTGGAACGTATTTTCATTTCAGAGGAATAAATCTTACTTCATGCTTGTGCTACTGAGTGCTGAATTTAGCACTGTATTTACCTTCAGCTGAGATTTATCAAAACAATAGCAACAGAAAAGGCCTAACCTCATGTTTGTCTTGGGCATGTAGCTCTTTTATACAGCCTGTCTAGGCTGAGAGCTTGTACAAAGCTGTCAAGGTCTAGGAGAGAAAAAAGGCTCTTCTGATATGTACACAGCAAATATAAAACAGACTTCTGTCTTGTTTTCTCACCAGATATCAAATAATATCTTTAAATGTTACAAAATACACGAGTGATTCATAATTAACTCATTCTGTAACAGTTATATAATTAATTAGAACTAGACATAATATCGTTCTAGCATTCTTTTAAAACCCTAACATTAAAAACAGGGAGAAAATGATCTTTTTATGTGTGCACAGGGCTTGGTTTTACTAAAATTTAGAAAAGTAAATGTTTAAAATTTTATTTTTTAACACGGCACAGTTAAACAGTTAAACATTTCCATAGCTGCACGTAATTTTACCTGGTGCTGCCCAGCAGTAGGTCAACTTAATTACTGTGGTTTGAGTTACAAGATTGGTGAGAACGGTTATCAGAAGAACAGAGGTAGCAGGTAACGTAGCTCGCAGAAAGGCAAAAGAATGGAGAGGCTCCTGTACACTTGTTGCTGTCTGTAAGATGTTCATTTACTATCAATTACTGGTCATGCCCTAGTCCAGAATAAAACCTTTGCAGCTAGATTAGAGTGCTTGCAGAGCAGTGAATAAAGGAAGTACACGGAGTAGAAGAAGGAAGACACACCGAAGAAAGACATAAACACAAAACCAGGAACTACATCTGCATTCACGTTAGCATTTGGCAGAAGTCATGTTACATTTATAAATCTGAGAAATAGTCATCTGACCAGCTCAGCACTTGGACTTGGGGTATTCTAGCTGAGGGAGGGGCATCAGTGGTACGGGGACCTTAGCTCACTTTGGATGTGTGTGGTTTTTGTTGTTTGTGTTTTAGGTTTGTTTTTTTTTGTAATCTGGTCTTGTAATTTACAGAGCATATTGTTCATTATGGTTAGCCTACCAAATTCAGCATTTAATGGATGCAGAGTTACATGTGCTCCTTTCTGTAGAAGTGTTAGCATGCCGTTCCAGTCTGTGGGGAAGCACATGCCAGCTAGAAATCACAGTTAAGAATACCTCCCTAAACTTAGCCACTCGCTTAAAGAGATAAATTCCTCAAATGCATTATCAGTAGGAGATGTCTGTTGCCTGTGACGTGCTTTTGTACCATCACAGTTGTAGTCA